AAAGCAGTAGTGTATAAATCAGAGTTTTTATTCTTGTCTGAAGGTTTTTATTTCGTTTTGTGAACAAATCATATTTATTCTTTGCTTGTTAAAAGATGGTTCAGTTTTCTAATATTGAACATTTTTGAGAGTTAAGTTATTAAAGGAAGTTCCATTACCAACAGCGCCTTTATTCTGGAATTTTTAAAAATATTGACGGAATTTATTTGTGTTTTACTTTAGTGCATAAAGTAATAAGTAAAATAGTGAATAACGTTTATAATGAAAAATAAAAATGAAATGTTTATTTACTGTGTAACCTAACAGCGTGTGGTATTTGTGTTAAAAACCCCCCAAGTAATGAGTGTGTACTGATTTTGTAACGAATTCACTCAAAACTCCAGCACCAGGTACCTCAGACAACATCACCGCCATAATATTCCTAATTAGCGACCCCAAAATCCCCCGAATAATGAGTTTGCACTAATGTACCGAATTTTCATAAAACCCCAGGCAACGAAAGTCATCCTAGGCACCAGGGGTCGTGATGATATTCGTGTTCAGCGACCCAAAAAACCCCCCAGTAGTAATATTGAACTCTTTTTCGGTAATTTTTTCGAAATTACGAATTTTTGATTATTCATCACTTCTAAATGCACTTTGGAAAAATGTAATTATCACTTTAGATCACAAAATGTCCTAATGGTCTTAAGAATCGAATGCAACAAGTTTCATTGGGATCTATCAAACTGCGAAAAATTGGTACGAGTTGGTATTGGTATACTGCATATACAGTTTTAGCCTCTCTTCAGTAATGTTAAAGACAAGAATAATAACAAAGACAAGTCAAAAAAAAAACATTCTTGAGTTCAAAAGTACTTTCAGTTTTCAGAGTGTCCGCTTTAATTTTATTCAGTTATTCTAAAAGTAAATATGAGGACGAATTTAAAGGTAAGTGAAGATTGTAACCGAATTTTTTATTTTCGATTATTGTTAAATATTTGTTTAAGATATCCATATTCTTCTTTATCTTATGTTCATTGCAAAATGTAAAGTAGCTATCAGTTGCAATGTTTGGTTTTAGTCACACCTCAGATCATTGTAAATACAAATAAGCTGCTGTTACAAATATTTCTATCCGAATTTTAAATATTTATTATGATGATCTAATAAATCATATGACACGTGACTTCTGCGTGCATAATTTTTCAATCAATTAACATCGTATGCGTTTTAGGAGGCGACAACTACAATCATCTCCCAATTACCATTTTGATAAATTAGCCAGAAATATGTCAACATGAAATGAGTTCGTGAGATCTCTCCAAAAATGCAGCAAGCGTCCTAATGGCCTTTCAGCATTTATGACCCTTACCGAAACAAATGCTCCTCCGACTCCGTCTCCATATGAGGTTGGCATGCTAGTTACATGCCCCTCATAGTACCTATGATGCTACACGAACACCTGTCTGTTATCTCCGAGAAGCCGGAATCTGACAAAACTTCTCTGGCGAAGAGAAAATCTAAAGAGGGGAACCAACGCATCGTGGAATACCATTTTCTCCTCAATATTTGGGGTTTACGGTCCCTAGGATAGGAAAAAAGTGTCTTATTTGGAAACTATCTAGAACTGTTGGAAGATGATGCCTAGCACGTACTTACCCCTCCTGTCGACGCGGCTAGGGTCTGATACGATAAGTGTGTGCCAATTTCACTACGAAGTGGGCTAACGAAGTTGTGTTGTAATTTTTCTCATTGTATAAATTACCCACGTACGTATTTTACGTACGTAAAGTAAATATTTATTTCACAACTACGTAGAGGACCTAAGAATTCGTTTCTTCCAAAATTATGTTGTTTATCGCTGAATTCTCTACAGTTTTTCATTTATTTTTTTTAACTAGACATTTTTACTACATATATAAATTCACGTGTAAATATAAAAATGAATAGAAAGAAAAGCGACATCTGCGTTTCTAATTGGGAGTTCATAATTGAACAGTTCAACGGGTCGAGGATCTATGAGGGTGATAATGTTGATATATTAATGATTATTTTTATAAATAAAAGATGTTAATTTTATACTAATTCACATTTATTTAAATTAATTTAAATATGGCGAAACACTATTGCAAATGAGGGATTGCATACACGTGCATGGATATTTTTAAAAACTCCCCCCTTCACATATTGTAACCCTCAAACAAGTTTTTATATACATATCCTCGTACAAGTATTGCAGCATTCTTTTAGCCTTGCTAAGCAGCCGAAAACTGTATTCTAAATGTTGCGTTAGATAAAAGATAGAATTTAAATTTTTAAGTTACGTACCAAGGTAGGTACCACCATTCTAGTGACAGCGAATATCGTCATGGATTGTCGACATTATACAAGGTAGTACTCGTTGACCGCGGTGTTCTTTAGGCGTAGTAACCTTGCTTGTTCGCTATACGACCTCGTCAGGACCTTCTTTCAAGGATTCTTTCAGTTATTTATCTCTCTCTTTTGTAGAGATTAATCGAGAAAGTACTTCATTTGTCAGAGGCCGAATATTTTTTAGACAGTTTGGTATACACTGAACATTTTAGTATAAACAACAAACAGACTATTGGATTTCAATTGCATGGTATTCGTTTGTGTAAATAATGTAAAAATGTAAATAAAATATTATAAAACATTTTACAATTTAAATATATCATCAATGGAAAGTCATATCGATGATTCATTCATTATGCCTGTCTTGTTTCTATCACTAAGTAATTTTTTAATATCAAAATAATTTTTATTGTTAGTGTTTTATAGGGCAATAGGCTTTACAATCTTAAAGTATGAGAACTTTCTGGATTGAATTTTCTACATAATATTCTAGTGCTCGTTTAACTAGCTCCTAAAGCTAGAACTTTTACAGTAAATATGGAGCAGAAATGGGGGATAATATGACGTTCTATATATTTATATGCAAACCTGCATCTTAGATCCACAAGCTGGAGTACCTCAGGGCTCAATTCTTGCTCCAATATTAGACACAATCTACAATAGAGCCGGCTGCAGTATAGATCGGAAAACCTTCTTCTGTATGCGGATGACACTACGCTCTTCACATTATGACCACATAGTGACCGTGGACAATTGTCTGTATTCGAAAGAGCACAAAACTATTTAGATCGAATCATTAGGTGGTGCAATAAGAGTAGAGTGACCATAAACGCATGCAAAACACAACTTATTTTATTCAAATCATCCAATTGTCGCGATGTTCATGGCCGGATATCCTTTTTAGGACAGAAGCTTATTCTCAAAAACTCTGTTTATATTTGGGAGTTCTTTTTAGCAGGACTCTCAACTGGAAAACCGTCATTCAAGATACTCTAGACAAAGTGAGAAAGAGGTTTAAACTCCAGGCAGCGCTGTCCGGTAAAATGGGCAGGACGTCATCTAAAACATTATTGCACACCTACAAAACCTGTATAAGACCGCTAATCGAATACAAGGCATGCAAATTAACACCATTATGGGCACCGAAAGGAAAATCGTGAGATTCTGCATGAGGAAGTGCATATATATCAGGTAGCCAATTTAACACCGATTAAGGACAGAATCCTATCCCTCAGCAGGAGGTATCTCCTTTGAACCATTACAGGTTCGAATAACCGAGCCAAACAAATCTTAGAGACGCCTTGCAATCGCCGAGGCAAATACTCACCAGAGTTCCCAAAAGAAAAGTTCCGTTCCCTTCAGCTAAACTTCTACACAATACTGGCCACGAACTTCCTGATGAGTATTTTGATATTCTACAATCATTCCCCATCAAATATCGCAACTAATAACTGCACGCCAAAAACGCTGATAAAGAGCCGTTCCTAGTATGGCTGATAAACCCTGAAGTACCTCCTTCGATTTGTTTGGCCTTCCACGTTTGGGCGTCCACCAACAATTCTTCTTATGCGCTTCACCATATCGTCCACACCACACACGCCACCTTCTGAACCCCACCTTTTTAGCAATCCACCTACATCTCCACAAGCATTCGACATCACGTTTACCACACCCCCTTAATACGGAAAAAAGCCAGGTCTTGGCGCGGGAATTGGCGCGAACATTTCTGACAGTAGGATCTTGATTGATGAGAGGTCTCCATGTCAAAGGTAACTGTGTGCCGTCATCTCTGTTATTGAGACCATTTTTTTTTTCAATTCCTATGGCTTCTCGGATAATTCTTAGTTTATAGAAGCGGATGGGGCCTATGGTTGTGTTTCAGTTTTCAAAATTAATTTTGTGACCTGTATGAAGATGATGTTGACCTAGAGCGGAAATTGAGTCGGCATTGCGAACAGAAAGAATGTTCATAGATCTTATTTTCGATTCCACGATTTGTTTGGCCTATTTAGGATCGGGGCAATCTGCACAAGGAATTTAGTAAACTACGTGTTTTTTATTTGAAATGTTGTCTTTGATTTTGTGAGTGACACCGTAGATGTAAGGAGGAAAAGCTTTCGTATGATCAGGGTCTGAGTCTTTGGTTTGAGAGTAAGTGGAATATTGATGTCTGTGGTTGCTCCTATTGATGTAATTTTCGCGGTAACCGTTTTGGATAAGGGCTTGTTTTAAACTAAAGAGCTCAGCGGGTCTGATGATGCAAGTAGACCCGTTGACCTTTGTCACACTGGTTGCCAACATCAATATATATGGTACATGGCAGAAGGAGGAAAGGATGTTGAAACACTTTCAGGGTTTCTACTAGTTTTGTTCATTGGTTGCAAATATTTTCTTTAATCTTACTTTGGTGGAGATTTCTACATAGAACAACCTTTTTATGTTGATAAATAACTCATAAAAGCCCACATATGATTAATCTTTGCAAAATTAGAAAAAACTACAACTAGAAGTTATAAAAAAACGTTAGCTTTAAATCTTAAATGTCCTCCAACTATATTTATATTTTTAAAACAAAAACAAATTATTAGTATTGTTGAGTAACAAGTAACTATTTTGTAATTACAATAATTTTCACTTAATTGCAGGTTTATACGAGAAATGATAGGGAAGTCCGAGGTTATTGCCTTGCACACATTGTCGCCTTTGACAAACATTTTAATATGGCATTAGAAGGAGTAACAGAAGTGTGGACAAGGAGGAAAAAACAGAAAAAACCGGCGTTTGGTAAGTCAATTCGAAAGTGTTTTGGTTTTTTTAACCGTTCTTTGACATCTCTTTTATTTGCCGTTATTTGCCAACAGCTGGTTGGCCTAGTGTACTCTGAGCCTAGTGTCGTCTTAGCCTGTATGTACTCAGGGGTTTCATCAACATCGAAACAACCATCAAACAACAATTGGCTCACCTTCACTTCTGTAGTATTTAATATTGTCTAAATACTTTGGACAGAGCACGAATATCATTCCGTTTAATTAATAAACGTCGATTTTCTTTCGTTTTCCTCCATTTAAATTCCAAGTGTTTTACAATCCTGTAAAGAGAACTCACACTTTCAGTCCAGTCGTACGCCGTTTAAAGCTGTTTCTGCAAAAGCTTCAACGAGACACGACAACTATTAGTCTCATTAAATTGTTAATTGTATATCTAATGAACTATTTGCCGTAGTCCCTCAAGAGTCAAGACTGTCACAGTTGCTTTCTGTTCAGCAGGTGTTTGAGCTAGAAATTCTTAAATTCTTCTTGAATTTACCCTTTTTCAGTAGCTTTGCTCACACGTTGTTTAATATTGGTTTGATTATCTTCAAGAAATAGTGATTCTTCTTCTTCAAGTGCTGTCTTCGTTCCGAAGTTTGGCTATCATCAAAGCTATGCGTATTTTTGATGCTGCAGATCTAAACAGTTGGTAATTGGTGCAATTGTACCATTCTCTCAAGTTTTTCAACCATGAATGCCTTCTTCTTCCTATAGATCTCTTTCCCATTATCTTTCCCTGTATAATCAATTGCAGCAACTGGTATTTATCTCCCCTCATAACATGTCCCAAATATTGTAGTTTTCGCTTTTTAACAGTAAGTATCAACTCTTTCTCTTTCCGCACTCTCCGCAAAACCTCCACATTTGTTACTTTCTCTGTCCAGGGTATTCTTAATATTCTACGATACATCCACAACTCAAATGCTTTTATCTTTTTGGTATCGATCTTTTTCAATGTCCATGTTTCCATCCCGTAGAGGAGAACTGACATAACGTAACATCTCAAAAGGCGAATTTTAAGTTTTAGACTTAGATCTCTGCCGCAGAACACCTTTTTCAATTTAGTAAATGTGGCTCTAGCTTTCTCTATTCTGGTTCTGATTTCTTCAGAGCAATCATTATTTTCGTTGATAACAGTTCCCAGGTAATTATATCTTCTTACACGTTCGATTCTTTGATCATGCACGGTTATGTCAGGGAAGTTTTGTGGTGATTTAGATATTAGCATTATTTTTGTTTTGCTTATGTTAAGTGATAATCCGTGTTCTTCACTGCATTCTACTATTTTGTTAATTAGTATTTGAAGATCTTCCCAAGTTTCTGCGATTAGTACCGTGTCATCGGCATATCTCAAGTTGTTTATTCGGATGCCATTTATCTTAATACCTATATTTTGATCCGAAAGTGCTGTGTTTATAATGTCTTCGGAGTATAGATTGAATAAGGTCGGTGAGAGTATACAACCCTGTCTTACGCCTTCTTGATCTCGATTTCCTCCGTTGTCTCTTGCTCTATTCGGATATTTGCTTTCTGGTTATAGTAAATCTTAGAGATAATTCTAATGTCCCTTTTATCCAAGTTTTTTTCTACTAGCAGTTTCATTAAGTGATCGTGACGAACTTTATCAAACGCTTTGTAGTAATCAATGAAGCACATATGTATATCTTGGTTTATATCTAGACATCTTTGGCATATGACGTTAAGTGCAAATAGTGCTTCTCTTGTTCCAAGCCCGTTCCGAAATTCGAATTGAGTATTACTAATATCTGCATCTAGTTTTCTGTTAATTCTTGAGTGGATTACTTTGATGAATACTTTTAATGTATGCCCCATTAAGCTTATAGTGCGGTAGTCAGTGCACTGTTTTGCATTTGCCTTTTTTGGTAAGGTTACAAAAGTTGAAAGTAGCCATTCCTTTGGTATTTCCATTCTTTTGTAGATGCAGTTAAAAAGGTCGAGTAGAATATTCACTGATTCGCCTTCCACAAGCTTAAGAAGTTCTGATGTGAGCCCGTCTGGACCCGGTGATTTACCATTTTTCATTATTTTTATAGCGTATAATAGTTCTTCTTTATAAAATAGTGATTGTATATATTTAAATCCTTCCCTAAACTATCGTTATGGATTCTGGTGTCAATCTAACCTGTTTACTCGTACTTTACTTAACCGTCTATAAAATAGTTTCTAATACGCGTATTTGGCGATTTCTTTATGAGACTAGAAGTATATACTGAGACTTAAATATAAACTCGTTTTAAATCTAGTGGTTATTATAGTGAAAATTCTGGAAAATAATTCATGTAGTTCTTTGGACGTCTCTAATGACAAGATAATTACAGATTACAATATTTGTAAAAGCAAATTTAATTTATAGTTTAACGAGAGCAATACAATATTTTGAAGTTTTAAATATAAAATATTCTGCTCATATTGTTTGATATTGCAATGCCACTATTTCTACGATGTTGTGTACACGATAAAGTATTTCATACAACTGGTGTCCATTGCATTTTAAATCTGTAACTGATTTAATATTTATCCTAATTTCAGATAGCATTGAACCGATCAGAAAAAGTATATTCCAAAGAAAATTTAAGTTTCCTGAAATAGAAGTAATTCCTCACGAAACTGATAAAAAGTTGGTAAAATGTGTGAGACATGTGGAGCAACTTGTGATGAGAGGAGAGCATGTTGTACTGGTCAGTATTGTTACTGAAGAGGACACTAATAAAACAAAGGCAGCAACAGAATTGAAAGGCGTCAAGTGAGCTTAATCTCAAATAAAAGAAACCGTAGCATTACTGATATATATTTAATAAAATTATATAAATATATTTTGTACAATAAAGCTATTGTTGATTAGTTTTTTTTATTTTTTTAAGTAGTATGACAATAGTATGACCCCCTTTTTTCTTTACAATGTAAAATGGGGCAATCCCAGTCATTGGCTGTATACCATAGTTTAAAAAACTTACATTGAAGTAAAAACTTCTTTTTTCGTAGTTTTTCAAAAATTCAACGGTTTTTTTTTATAAACCAAAAGCAATTTAAAAAGAACCATTTCAAAGATAAAGGCAAAAGTTTAGATAAAAAAGCGATTCTTATAAAAATGTGCCGCCCATGATGCGCCAAAGATAAGGTTTAAAAGCGAAGCCGATTTTACAATTTCAAAAACTGAATTCATAAGTTTAAATTGATAAAAGTCACAATATCTCCGGTTCTAATCAACGAAAATTGTTTTTTTTTAATTTGGGTACATCGTGACATAGATCATAAAAATGCATTTAATTAATTAGTGAATTGTTTATTTAACTGAGTAATTTTTTAAACAATTTAAAATAAATATTTGCTATGCAAAATTTTACTTTTCTCTTATTATTATTAGTAGAAAAAGTGATTAAATAATAAGCAACTTAAATATTTATGAATTGTAGTCATAAATAATATCTTTTAACAATAAGTTTTATAAAAAATAAATTTTTTATTTGAAAATCAATCTATACGTTTTAATTTTTCTTGAATTAGCCTATTATTTTTATCATTACTTTTTCTAAAAATAATTACAAATAAATTTTACACCAATTGATTGTTATAAACTTTGTAGAATTATATATAAAAATTATGGAATTAACATATAACTGCATATATAAATAACACATTACAATTTTCAACTTAATTTTAGTATTTTCAATTATAATTATAGAAAAGTTTATAACAATTAATTTGTTTAAAATATATTTATAATGTTTTTCGGTCAAAAAAAGTAATTGTAGAAATAATAAGTATAATTTAAGAAAAACTAACAGGTATAGGTTTGATTTTCAGATAAAAAATTTATTTTTTTGTAAAATTTATTTTTAAAAGATATTATTTATAATCATAATACACAAATATTATTTATACCTATCATTTCATAACTTTAACATTCCATAATCTAGCAATAACTGTTAACTGGACTACTTGAAATTTTTATAGCTGAGTACATGTAATATTGTCCCTAGTATCAAGTAAAATTAAAATTTTTTATTATTAATTATTTTCAAAAATCGTTTTTAACTGTTATCTGCAACACAATGCAGCGACCAATATTTTAAGTTTTGTTCGGCTTACACATAAGATATATGCGTATATAGATAAACATGTAGTGTTCGTAAAACATCTATAAGATAAAAAAGAAGAAATAAATACAGAAGAATTAAAATATCACGTAAGTAAAGGAAAGCATCTAGTGGTATCTATTAAGGTGATGCCGTATCTTTAACTTAAATTTATTAGTAGTTCTGTCTGTTATTATCTAAAGAGAGTGTTTTAAGGTGAAATTTAAATTCGTAAGCTGCGATTCTACCATTTGGTGGCTCCTGTAATGTTTTGGGGTGAATCATCTACTTCCATACTAATTGAGGGTGAATGCTATTCTTGTATGATTAAGATATATAAATCCTGAATATAAACAAACTCTACCTGAAAAAATGTAGTGCTATTGTCTCCTTTTAATAACTCTAATACTATTTTATTCATGTAATAAAAGCTACCCAGAAGGGGCTAAATAAAATTGTCATACATATTAAGGCCCGCGTGCCTTAATTTTGGGTCTAAATAAAATTGACATACTAGGATAGGTTGATATTAAACTAGCCTTTAATAGATGGCGCTACTTGATACCGAATTGTTTTCGGTGTTGACATTTGTCATTCACGACATGACGTCTGTCAAAATTTTAAGTTTTAAAAACAATTAGTTTGGTTTTTACAGCCTTCAAAAGCAAGCAAATTTTGTGTTTTCGGAGAAATGGAAAAAGTCGAGTATCGTTCGGTGATTAATTTCCTCCACAAAAAGGGTAAAACGAATATGCAAATCAAAGCCGACCTTTACGAAGTTTATGGTGAGGTTGCACCTTCGTTAGCAACAGTAAAATTTTGGAAAGCTGAATTTGTTCGTGGTCGTATGAGTGATTTTGATGATGAGCGTCCCGGGAGGCCAAATGAAGTCACCACGCCGGAAATGATCAACAAAGTCTATGACATGATTATGGCAGATCGTCGAATTAAGCTCCGCGAATTAATAGAGGTCCTAAACATTTCCTACTAACGCGTACACAACATCATTCTCCATCATTTGGACATGAAAAAGCAATCCGCGCCATGGGTGCCGCGTTTGCTGCCGATTTATTACCGTTGATGAAACCTGGGTGCATTATTACACACCGGAAACCAAAGAACAGTCGAAACAGTGGCGCAAACGCGGCGAAGGGCCTTCGAGTAAGTCAAAGAGTGCACATTCGGTCGGCAAAGTGATGGCGACTGTTTTCTGGAATGTGAAGAGCATCATCCACATCGACTACTTGGAAAAAGAAAAAACAATCAATGGTGAGTACTACGCAGCATTATTGCCCCATATAAACGCCCCGGTTTGGAACGCAAAAAAGTGCTCTTTCACCAAGACAATGCACCGGCTCACCGATCGGCCGTCGCCATGGCAAAATTACACGAATTGGGCTATGAATTGGTTAAACATCCACCGTGTTCCTCAGATCTTGCCGCCAGCGATTTTTGTTTCCAAACCTAAAAAATGGCTCGGAGAACGCCGTTTCGCAACAAATGATGAAGTCGTCGCTGAAACGTCGGCCTATTTTAAAGAGCTCGAAGAAAAGTACTATTCGGATGGGATAAAAAAAATGGAACATCGTCCTACTAAGTGTATCGAGCTAAAAGGAGACTATGTTGAGAAATAAATCGATTTAATTCCAAAAAACCTGTTTTTTCTATCAAAGGCTAGTTTTATAGCAATCCACCCTCGTACATAGTAAGACGCGCGCGCTTGCGCCCACACAGACACACGAGCGCTTACTCATTCACAAATAAATTGTTCTCCATGCACACATACACACGAACACAATTAAAACACTATAGGGTTGCTAATCTTACTCGTGTAGGTATTGGGTCTCAATCATTTCAAAAAAGAAAAATAATTTACAGTTCTTTTAAACCAACAGCGAAACTTTATGATATTGTCTATTACACAAGCACAGTATTTGGTCCATTTATTTTATGACCTTAGATTTGATTTACCTGTGTATAACGTTGACACGTTATTCTAATAATGATTTTTAATCTTAAAATAATTTTGTCTGATTAATAGATTAAAAATAGACATCGAACTAATGAACTTGTTAAGAAAATTTTGTGTTGCAGCCAAAGTTCATCTCAAAATCACATTCAAGGTTTCAATTATTTAAAACCGAAATTTAAAGAATGGTCTGGACCAGAATTGTGGACAGATTTAAATCGTTTTTGTATTTGATATGACTTTACAAACAGTTTTTACCGAGGTGCACGAGTATGTAAACCTGAAAATACGTTGTGAAAGATTGCTTTATATTTAATTGCAAATGGGAGATTTTTTGAGTGTTGCCAAATGATTCAACGATCTAATGTGGGATGTAAGATGTATTCAGGTAAATAAAAAATGCAATTGCATAGCTACGCAAGATGAATAGACTAAACGATTCATATCAGAGTTTCTGAAGGACCAGACAGATCCTGTGATTCTCTGAACATACTTGAAAATACGAAAAATCTAAACTCAGGATAGATAATGTAAATACAGAATTAATCAAATATTTTGGCACTTTCTGCCACTTACGACTTCACCATCATTTTAATATGTGCTGACAGAGGAATTAAATTCCAGACCCATGGAACTACATCTCAAACCCCTTTAGGGAAATGATCATATCAGCTTTCATAGTCCAGGTCACGGTGTTATGTAACAACACTGACCAAATGTATCATTTTATCATTCTTTGACGTAATTTTAGTTTTAAGCTGTGTTTACAAGACAATAATTTCATTTTTAATAAATAACATAAGAATATAAATATACAGTCCGTCCCAAACCCTTCTTTCAGTGCGTCATGGTTGATCGAATTCTCTCTAACGCATTAAGCTAGAAGTGACAGAAAAAAACGTGAGTCTGTGATTATTATACATAGAACTTAGAAAATTATGTATCGTTCACGGTTATTTGCATATTAAAGCGAATTCTACTTACGGATGTATAAATTGGTTAAGTAAAATGTAAATTAGTGACGCACTGAAAGAAGGGTTTGGGACGGACTGTAGATTTCCTTTCACAATGAAAAAAAAGGAAAGTGAAGAGATTTGACAGCATATTGTTGTGCAAAAGTCCATTGAAATTCCTGGATAAGAAAAAACACTAGGCTTATCTACTCACAAGAGAAAATTTAACGATCCGTTTTTTAATTTTTAGTTTATTCTTGATGCCGGTACTGTTTGGATGCCCGTTCATGAATATTTTGAGATTAACAACTTTATTTCCATCCCACATATACTCCGTTTCTTAAAATAACATATTTTGTTGTGACAATCCATTTATATTTGATTTTGTTAGTGTTGTTTACTGTCAAAACCATCAAAACCATTCCAAGGTATGCATACCAATTATTACCAAGTTCACGTGCTTAGTTTCTCGGAGTGAACTTTTTAAAAAACGTTTAAAATATTTTTGGAATAGGTACATCGAAAAAAACAACACTTTTTTTATTAAATAACTTGTTCTTTTTCAATAATTATGATATTTTAGACTTGATATATTTATTAATATTCGTACGTCCGTTCTTGTCGATGACTTACATACAAGAGAATACATTAAACAAAGACAGAAATATGATGAAGAACGGTCCTTAATACTGAGAATAATACTAATTAATTTGACATAATATTCTAATTATGATATCAAAGACATAAAACTCATTTTTTGACCACAAATACCACTACAAATTTACATTTAAGAACACCCGTGGACAAAGATCTATGATAGTTTATGTTATAACCAACAG